AAGGAAGCAAGGTTATGGTAACGGTAATTTTGACATTTGCAATTCAGAATTTGACAAATGTAAACAATAACAAAGTTTCTATAATTTCATGCGGATAGCCCCACGGGAACAGCTAGTAATAAATGTCAAAATGACATGGCATGAAGTCAATCCATGGCAACCTTGCTTCCTTGATGTTGGCAGCAACTTATGGTCTCTTTCACACATTAGAGTTTTTATACAAAATATTTACTCCTAAATTCAATGACGTGAAAATATAAAGCCTAAACCGTAACGTAAGTGTAGGCCTTTTTATTAAAGAAAGAATTATTCAAAAATATGCTGTAATTGCTGACATCTTAGGCAACAAAGAAGTGTGTGTTTACGAATTATTATAATAGTATAGAGGTATAGTTGACAGTGGTAGAGCCCGCTTTTACATCTTCGCACTGTAGGGCTCGCCCCCAACTATACCACGACCACACAGAAGACAGGCGTGAAGTGGAAGCAATTCCGCGTACAGTCTGATGAGTGTGGTGCCGGAGGTCTAATTTTAGTCCCTTTCCCTTTCCACCCTTTTCTTAAGAGGGAAGGATGGGAAGGAAAAGTAGATTTGACGGTACAGGAGATACATAGAAAGGGGAAATGTTCTCTTTATGTGCGTCTCCTCCGTCAATGAAGGGTAGGCAGCGCTGCAATTGCGGATGTCTAGCAGAGGTCGCTTTCCATTTCGGTGGATTCAGGCCGCTTGCTCATTTGCCACCTTATGTTATAAAAAAAGAGAGAAGTTAGAATAAATAATTCTAACAATATTTACCTGATTACTAACAAATTCCAATCTGAACACCCTGTCTTGTGTCCCGTGACGTAATTTTAATCCTTTATTAGTACGAGTATTACCTAAATTGTACACTTTTGCTGTTTCGTATACATCTATTATTTCTGCCACCTGAAATACGAGAGATAAATAACAATAAATATATATATATATGTAGTATAAGGAGGTTATAAAGAGGTTAAATATGTTTCTTTTTAATATGTTTTCTTTTTAATTGATTTCGAATTTTATATTTTGACGTTCGTTTAAAATTAGTTTTAAGTTAAGAGTCGGAGAAAAAAGAGGAACGACGATGTAACAAGATGTGTTTTTTTTGTAAAATTGTGTAAATATTAAAAATAGCGATAGTTAACGAGTTTATTTTTATTTGATCGAGCCACAACCCCACATATATAAATAAATATAAATAAATGACATCTATACATCTATACATGTAGATACTATACATACACTATAAAGAGGAAAGATTTATATTTTTGTATGAAATAACTCAAAAACTGGGCTTATTTTAATAATAATTTCACCATTAGAATATACATAGGAATGTACACACATAAATACATACAAACATACATACATAGAAAGGTTTATGTGAATAACATAGACTATGTATTTAGCAATATTTTGTTTATTATTATTTTAATTTCACGCGGACGAACTCGCAAACAACAACTAGTCCTAAATGTAGGTTAATTTAATCTACATTATATAGAGAAATATACAGAGATTTATAATTTAAAAAACACTAAATTCTATTTTGTATTAAATAAGTCGATCTCTTTTACTCCTATTGCCTTATCTTTTGTCTCACTCAAACGAAACGTAAAAAAAAATAATTAACATAAATTACAAAATATCAACTCACCCTGTATACAGGATTTCCGTTATTATTTCCGATACCGATGCGCACAAAACACCCTGTGACCACACGAGCGAAGAACGGCAAATGAACTAGTCTTTCTAACTTAAACCTGAAAATAACGGTAAAAACCTTATGTAGCTTTAAAGAATATGACAATTTTGTATTTTATTACATTAAATTTCTGTTTTTAGATAGAATGGGCTCTAACAATGGTAGCCCGCTTTAACATCTTAACACTGCAGGGTCAGCACGCCCCCACCAATACCACACAGACAGGCGTGAAGTGGAAGCAATTCCGCGTACAGTCTGATGAGTGTGGTACCGGAGACTTAATTTTAGTCCCTTTCCCTTTTCATCCCTTACTTAAGTGGATTTATGGTAGAGGAGACGCATAGGAAGGGGAAATATCCTCTTTATATGCGTCTCCGTCAATGAAGGGTAGGCAGCGCTGCAATTGCGGATGTTTATGAGACGTCCCTTTCTATTTCAGTGGATTCAGGTTGCTTGCTCGTTTATCATATTATGTTATAAAAAAAAGTTCGGAAACGAATTTATACAACACTAACGAGTTAAACGTGTCTCGGAAACCGGATATAAGTTATACAATTGTATTACCTGCTTAACCTAAGTTTATTGATCTGATCTCTTGTATCCGCATATTTGATTTCCACTTCCTCTCTCTTCTTCTCTTCTTCTTCTCCGCCTGAGGATGAAGAGCTGCTGGAACTGCGACGACCTGGAGAAACATATTTATAGTTATTAGATTTATCATAAGATTTAATTATTTTCAATACATTAGAAAGTGATCTAATTTTTTTAATAATTCTTTGTTAGACTTGAACACACGAATATGTTAGTTAAAATTTCAATCTTATTTACTGTTTGTAATTAATTGCCGTTTTTCTAAGTACTTGACAATTTTATTCAATAAATTAAAAAATATATAAAATCAAACATTTAAAAAACAAGCAGAGTTTTTACAAAGTATTCAAATTTTACATTTCTAAAACGTAACAAAATGTGAATACAGTTTTCCTTTCGTAAGGTTTAGAAGTACCTAGTAATAGACAACTTATTTGATTGTTACTGTCGCTTTAAACTCAGAGCAAGTAAGACTCAAGTTACGCGCCAATCTATCCATACTTGTAGTGACATTGACAGCTGTCAGCTAGGGACGTGACGTTTATGCAGATAACCTAGAGTTGCAACGCTACAGCACGGTACTAATTTTGTTCCTAACACTAGTTAGTTTACAAACTGACGTAATTACCTTGTGATTTGTTATCTTCGGAGTCAGAGCCGGAATCATCGGAATAAATATCCGAAGCCTTTAACTTGACGCTCTGTTTACTTGTACCGCCAATTATTTCCGCATCCGCATCCTGGAGTATAAGAAAATGTAAAATTTATAATATCTATACTATTATAATAAAGCGTAAACACACACTTCTTTGTTGCCTAAGATGTCAGCAATTACACCATATTTTTGAATAATTCTTTCTTTAATAAAAAGCCCTACACTTACGTCACGCTTTAGGCTATATATTTTTACGGTATTAAACTTAGGGTGTAAATATTTTGGATAAAAACCCTAATGTGGGAAGAGACCATAAGTTGCTGCCAACATCAAGGAAGCCAGATTGTCAACATGTCGTTTTGACATTTGTAATTGATAATTTGACAAATGTAAACAATAAAATTTTCATAATTTCATGCGGATGAAGTCGCACGGGACCAGCTAGTCTACAATATAATGGTTCTTACTGAAAAAATACTTCTCAAGCCCCATTGAAGTCAGGAACCATATGCTTTATAACTAAAATCTATATTAACTTAATTTCAGATTTTTGAATAACTAGAATTACAAACATAACAAGTTTCAAATAACAGACAACATTTTATTTCTTTCATACATCATTTTTATATACCTCTAACGGTTTAGGCGTCATAAGCCGAGAAATGTTAAATAGCTTTCGCCCGCGACTCTGTCGGCGTGAAATTAAAATATTAATAAAATAAGTAGCCTTTGTATTCTTCCATTCTATCCTCTACATCTGTACCAAATATCATTAATCCATTCAGCAGTTTAGGGTACAAACTCTAACAAACATCCATGTAAACTTTAAATTTCCCCACATCTTACATCGTCATCATCTTTGTCCTTCTCCTCTTCCAGTCTCTTCCTCTGCTTGTGTTCAGTCCTGGTCGCCTTGGCGTCTCTCTGCGCGCGCAGCGCCGCCATCGCGTTCTGGCGGCGGTCGTCCACGTTGCGCTTCCGCCCCTCGGACTTCGCCCCGAACAGCGGAGATGCGGAACGAGATTCTGAAATAACATATCTATTGTCTACAGCCTGAAAACCAGCTCCGGCTTAGGTCATGAGGTCCACGCTGAGCCTGCAGCCCATTGTTGTCGATTTAACTTTTTTTTATTTAGCTCATAAGAAACTGTTTTTGTGACAACAATAAAAGTATTTTTTTATTTTTTTTTAAATTCATTTTCTTGTCATCAAAAAGATTAATAAAAATGCGAAAATCTAGATAGATGGATGTTTGTTAGAGTTTGTAGCCTAAACGGCTGAACGGATCTGGATGAAATTTGGCATAGATGTAGAGGATAGTCTGGAAGAACACATAGGCTACTCACTTTTGTTTATTTTTTAATTCCACGCGGACGGAGTCGCTAGACAACTAGTTATCACATAAAATATAGCCTATGTTACTCACAGATAAATTACCTTTCTAACGGTGAAGGAATTTTTAGAATTGACCCAGTAGTTTTTGTGTTATTTCAATACATACAAAAATACAAATCTTTCCTCTTTATAATATTAGTATAGATGTTACTAGAAATTCAAATATCTATACTAATATAAAAAGGAAACATTCGTATTTTTTGTATTTTCATATGTATTTGATTCACACAAAAACTACTTCTACGATTTTTAAAATTCTTTCACCATTAGAAAGGCAATTTATCTGTAAAATAGACTGTATTTTTATTATTTTTTTTTAATTTTACGCAGGCGATATCGCGAGCAACAGCTAGTACTAATATAAAGAGGAAAGAATTGTATTTTTGTATGTATTATAATAACTCAAAAACAAAGTATTACAAATTTAAAAAATAAAAGTTATTTATAATTCACAACACTGATTGTGTCAGAAAATACTAACTATAACTAAGAAATAAGAGCATAAAATAATAAAAAATCAACATTTAAAAGTTTACCATTATCTTTCTGGTCATCCATTATTTCTCCAGGACTTTGCTCCATACTTTCGTTCTCTTTCTCCATTTCCTTTGGCTGTTCTGATTCAGATTCTAAAAAAAACATAATAAATCACTAAATATTAAGTTATTTCAATAAGTTAGCCGTATTCTAGAATGACATTTAAACATTTAAAAGTGTGTTGAATAATACCATGTTTAAACTCAAAATTACATTTATATTCTCACATCTGCTAGATTGTAAATACCCATACAATAACATACTTGACATAATAACAAGCAATAATGGGTGGCACTAAATTTGACAATTGATATACAGAACCTCGATAAGTTAAAGTCCAAGGGAAACACAAAATATTTTAAGTTATAGAGGTTTTAAGTTATCAAGGGTTTATGTTATAGAGGCTTTGGGCTCTGCTCTTTGTTGGGAAGGGAACATATTATTTTTTGAAGTTATAGAGGCTTTTATGTTATCGAGGTTCTACTGTAGTACCTTTCAGAGAAAGCACCTCAACCTTACCACTGATTTCAAAAATTCTTACATCATCAAAAAAGTAAGTTATCACTAAGTAACATAGACTATTTTTTTTTATAATTATTTTTAAATTCAAGCAGGCGAAGTCGCGAGCAAATACTAGTATTTAATGACTTCAGAGTTTACGAGTACAAATTAATGAGATATAATCATATATAATTAACTAGACCGTAACATTGTCTATGAAATAAAAAAAAATTGCATTTTAAATTAGTTATTTTTTCTTTTTTTTTTTTAATTAGACGCGGGCTAATTCGAACAGTTAGTCTTTAAATGCCTTAGATTACAGTATAACAGTGTCAGTGTATTGTATTACTAACCTCTCCTCTCCACTCTGTCCATTCTCTCCCTCTCCTCTGCGGTCCTCTCCCGCTCAGTCTCCCGCGGCGCTTCTCTCTTCTGCGCTCGTCTCCTCCTCCTTGCGTCCCTGCGGCGCGCCAGCTCGGCGGGGGAGGCGCCGCGCTCCGCCGCAGTGCGCTTCGCTAAACGGAGTTTCCGTTCTATCTCCCATCTATAGATAATCGGTCAGATGAAGAGAACTATTTTACTAGTATAATTATTTATGTTTATTATCTTTTTAAAGTTATTTTTGTCTCCGTCTGGCTGGCTTTTATATATATTATTAGCTAGACGGGATTCCCCCGGCAGGGGTGACCAGACGGCTGAGGGTATGGTTAAAGAGAGAGAAAACGGACAATTCAAGTTGTGTCCAGAATTGTCCGCTGAATAACAGAAGATTATTATTAATTATAAACGTTAAAAAAATATAATAAGTTAAGACTTAAATTACTCACTAATTAACTAATAAACTAGAAAAACTACAAAAAATATTCAGTAGTTTAATAGTTAACTCAAAAACTACTGAATATATTTGAGTAGTTTTTGAGTTAATATATTCATACCTTGTCTTCATAAGATCTCTCCTCTCAATACGTTTGAATATCTCTTGTTCCCTCTCTTTCTCGGACATGGCGGCCAGACGCGCTCTGTCCTCTTCATCTCCCATTAAATTCTCATCATAACTGAAAAATATCACAATTTACATAAACCTAAATCAAACAAGAACATCCTACTATTATTATAAATGCGAATGTTTGGATGGATGGATGTTTGTTAAGAGTTTGTATCTTAACTGAGGATTTTAAAAAATGGTAAAAACCACAGCCCTATGTTATTTAGTGATAATAATGGTGAAATAATTTTTGAATTCGGCCTAATACAAAAATACAAATCTTTCCTTTTCACAATCTTACTAATATCATAAATACGAAAGTTTAGATGGATGGATGTTTGTTACAATTTGTAGCCTAAACTGCCAAAGGGATATCAATGAAATTTGGCATAGTTGTAGATATGGCATAGGCTACTTGGTTTTTTTTATTACCACACGGACGGAGTCGCGGGCATAAGCTAGTATTAGTATAAATTAAACCATTTTAAATACTTAGTTCTAGTAAAGTTCAATCTCACCCATCATCAAATTCCTCTTCAGAGTCTATTGAATCATTGTCTGATGAATGTGAGGATACTTCACCTGGAAATAAACATTATTATATGAAAAATACATTTCAATATTGCGAAATAAACAGTTTACAATTTACGTAAAGAACTAAATCAAACTATCTTACTAATATAAATGCAAAAGTTTAAAATGGATGGATGTTTGTTACTATGTAGATCCAAAGCTACTTAACATATGCACTAACTCACAGAACATAGTCTGCAACTCATAGACTACTAAGTTTTTTTTACTTCCGCACCAATAAAGTTGCTGGTTATAAACAGAAGTTTTATCAAAGAACAATTTAATAGTAGAGATTCAAAAACCCACCTTCTTCAGGTTCACTGTAAGTATCTTTTTTCTTAACCGATCCAACACTATCAATACTCTTTCTGGTTTCAACCTTTTTCGGTTCCGGTTTCTTTTTGACCTCATCCATGTGATCCGATGAGGACTTCCTCGCAGGTCTCGGTGGATCTTTCTTTTTAGAAGTATCACTTCTTGCATCACTCTCCGATTCAGAGTTTGACGATGAAGATGATTTGCCTGAAAGGTAAAAGTTTGTTACATTAATTTAAAACTGTACTGTTGCTAGCATGGTATGGACATGTAATCCGAGACGATGGGGACATAAACTAGAAAGTGTTAAGATGGCATGTGACTACAAAGGTAGAAGACCACAGAAAGCATGGATGGATGTGAAAGAGAGTATGGAAGAACAGCACATACTGTGCCAATCCTATGTAGGGACAGGGGCAAGTAGATGGTCATATTAATACTTTCACTGCCTACTAGTATTTGCAAGAAATCCATCACACTTCTCTCTCCCACTCTTTATTAATAAGGAAATGATGGGAAAAGAATCTTAAATGATCTAAAAATGTAAACATTCTCTAATTTATCTTCTCTGTCCAATTGGCAATACATTTAAACATGGTAATGCAAATTTAGTGTAGTAGTTACATCACAGGACTCCATCTAGACAGATTAAAAAAGCAAAAGTGAGTAAACCTATATGTTCTTCCAGACTATTCCCTACATGTATACCAAATATCATCAAAATCCATTCAACTCTTAAGGCTACAAACTCCTAATAAACATCCATCCATCTAAACTTTTATATTAATATTGTATTTATGTATGTAACTCAAGTTTTTAATTAATATATTACCATCTTTTTTGTCATCATCATCCCAGTCAGATTCACTGTCTGATGATTTATTATTTGATTTTGATTGTGGTGGAGACTCTCCTGGTTTCTTTTTCTTCTTTGCCAGATTTAAGAATTGCTACAACAAAATGTCTATGGTCAGTTACTATGTTACATAATAGACAATACCAAGACATTGATAATTTTGGGCTTTAGAATAATCTATTACTACATTGTATAAATATGATGTAACATTATTTTTGAAAAAACTTTAATCTAGTGAAAATTTGTCTATGGTCTTTCTCTATTCTAAAGTAAAGTAAAGTAATGGAAAGAAAGAGTCGATAATTTTAAAAAGAAAAGGATTAGGTAACTCAATGTTCGTTACAAAGTTTGAATTTAATACATACGATAAAAACGTATAACTCAATACAGATAAAACGAAAGTTTATGTTAAGTATTTTTTAACGTTTTGGGAGGCAAAATATACCTATTTGTAATAGAATTTAACGTTATTAAGTTTGGAAAGTGGCTTTCTTCGAATTTTGCATGAGTCATACCCAAAGTAGCCATTACAAAACCAAGCTTTGTAGAAAAACATGACAATAGTGAAAACGTTAAATTATGTTTACAAGTCAAAACATATTTTTTTTTCTTAAATATCTGAAGTAATTGCGCACTAAGCGTAATTATAGCATCAGGCTATTGATCTTGGCCTAAATACGCAGGTGAAATAGAATAGGAATGTCTACAAAAAGCTGTCTTGAAAACAACTTATAACCTAGGAATTGTATAACAGATATTACTTACAGAGTCCAAATCTGAGCAATCGCTGCTTGAATCAGAATCTATCAAAGGCTTATTCTTCCTTTTAGCCATTTGTGAACACTATATCTATAAAGAACGATAAAAGATTTTTTTCTTTACGCTACGAAGTTGTCCGTCAATCGCTACACACAAAATGTTTTTTTTTTACAATCATTGAGAGAATCGCATTCTTGAAATTTCAGTTTGGATATTCGTCCAACATCAAAATAGTAAGGAATTTTCGCCGGTTAATTAAAAATATTAATATACCATATTGAATAAATGTAAAATAAAGAATTAAAAAAATACAAAATTCTAATGTTTCTATAGCGTGTTCCAATAAAACATCGCAATAAAAATTATATTTCTTAAAACCAGTTCTGTGTGACGCTGTCTGCTGTCATATGTGCTGTTTGTCATCATCTGTCACTGTTGTTATTTTCTTTTTATCTTAAAGTGAAAATTACTGCAAGAAAGGAAAAGATCTAAAGAGATAAACATTGCTCGTGAACATTAAAAATACATGTTTAATTACTTGTGCTTCATACTTATGGTAGATTTAAATATTCTATATATCTCTTCGTTGCGATAAAAAAATTGTATACGTCGTAACGGGTGCTCCGTTACTTTGCCAATAAAACCTTATTATGCCTCATGATTTAAAGGAACTGGGTGTAAGGAAAGCTATAATGGTAAGTACACTATTATGAAACTATACAAATATGCTAATTCTTAAGCTAAAATAATTGAACATGTTATCAAGTACAGAAAATTTCTAGAAACTACATACGATTGAAGAATCTGATAAAAAATCTTCAGTTTACTATCTTCACACTTTAATAGATGTATAAACCGATGCACTCTCATCATTTTTCACTATTAACAAAACATAAATACATAAAAAGCTATTAAAACAAAACAAAACACAAGTGTATTTTTTTTATAAGATAAGGCAAACAAGCGAAACATGATCAACACCAATAGAGAAACTGCAGATTGCTTGTCTTTGAGGAAATTACTTCTAAATCTATATTAAACCCAGATTGCCTTGTTTGTTAAATAATCACTAAAATTCTTGGTGGGAATTATAAAAACCTACACTGGTATGTTTAAATAACTTGGTAAACTCTTGAATAATACAATCAATTAAAAAATTTCCAGGCTCCCTTGTCCCCGACACCCTGCGCAGAGATCAGTGATGATGAACTTGTCTCCATCTCTGTGCGAGATCTAAACCGACAGCTTAAGATGAGAGGATTGACACGAGATCAAATTGTAAGGTAAATGGACTTCTTTATTTATATACTAGCTTAATGCCCCCGACTCTGTCCGCGTGGAATTAAATAACAAAAGAGAATAGCTTATGTGTTCTTCCAAACTGTCATCTACATCTACACCAAATTTCATTGAAATCTGTTTAGCTGTTTAGGCTACAAACTCCAACAAACATCCATCCATCCATCCAAACTTTCGTATTTATAATATTAGTATGATTAGTATCTTGATGGCCATTTTATTTATCTGTTGTATTATTTTGTTTATGTGTATGTTTTTCTATGAGAAACAATATACTGTTTTATTAATACAACCTTTCGACCCGCTTCTCCAAACACATGTAAATAAAAAAAACAAAAGTATGTCTATGTATTCTAGACCAGTGATTCTCAGCCACTGTGCTACCGCACTTTTATTAGCTTGTAATTCATCCCTTAATAAACATTTAGTTGTTATTGTATATATTGGTTTATTTCGTATATTATAAATTCTTTGTGTGCCATCAAGAAGGGATGACTGAGATGACGGATGACAGAGTTTTTTGGAAGACGAAAACCCGGTGCATCAACCCTAAGGAGAAGTGTTATTATTTTCAGAATGAAACAAAGACGTAGAACTCTCAAGAACCGAGGTTATGCAGCCTCGTGTCGTATCAAACGAATAGAACAGAAAGATGAACTGGAAACGGAAAAAAGTCAAGTAAGTTCTATGACCGATCTTTTATAGCTTTGACCGCGACACCGTCCTTGTAGAATTAAAATGAAACAAAAGTGAGTAGTCTATGTAATCTTCCAGACTATCCTCTACGACAAAGTTTAAAATCTGTTCAGCTGTTTAGGCTACAAACTCTAACATCAATCTGAACTTTCGCATTTAAAGTATTACAGCAGTAACTGAACTAATTTTGATGAATTAGGTTTCATTTATCAACAGACTAGCTGTTCCCATGCGACTTCATCTGCATAAAATTATAAAAATTTCATTTTATTGTTCACATTTGTCAAATTGACAATTGCAAATTTTAAAATGACATGATGACAACCTTGCTTCCTTGATGTTGGCAGCAACTTATGGTCTCTTTCCCACATTAGGGTTTTTATCTAAAATATTTACCCTTTAAGTTTAATGACGTGAAATTATATAGCCTAAAGCATGTCGCAAGTGTAGGGCTTTTTATTAAAAAAAGAATTATTCAAAAATATGCTGTAATTAACATCTTAGGCAACAAAGAAGTGTGTGTTTACGCTTTATTATAATAGTATAGATAGACATAAGGTTAGTATAATCAAGACTGAATTCAAATCCCACTTGCTATAGCTGTTTTTTTTTCATACTTGAGTATGTTTTATATTTTACCAAATATCTACTTAAATAAGAAAAGTTTTTTCACATTAGAGTTTAATTTAAAAATTTAGAAATTTGCTTTTTGTTACGTATTGGGAGTATTGAAAGATAGCTTGCTTAGCACAGACTGTTTATTTAAGTAGCTGTCACATAGACGGCGGCACAGCCGCCAGTTCGGAAACACGTACAATACACAACACTTTTCAAATGCACATAATAGATGGCGCTTATCTTAAACCATAATAGTACTATTTTGCCCAGATTTCTATTACTAAAACTTATTTTTTTAATGTTTTAGAGTGTTTTAAATTAAGAAAATATTAACATTACAATTTTTTTAGTGTAAACAGAAGAAATGTAAAATTTTAAAATCTTAGTTTTAAAATGAAGCTAACAGATGGCGCTGTTTAATCTATTAGTGTACAATTTTTTAGTGTTTTTAAATTAATGTTAAGTTATTTGAATAACAAATAGTGTGTTTTTTTAGGAATGGCATGATATGGAAGCTATGCAAGAAGAGAATACTAGAATCCGTGATGAAATAGAAGCTTTAAGAAGTAAATATGATGCGTTGAAGAGATTTGCTTTGATGAAAAGTATCCCTTTACCACCAGAATTGGAAATGTTGCCATAAATATAAGGAAAATACGAAAAAATGCATTTATATAAGGTTTGGTAGATAAGTTATTTACAATAATGATGAGTTCAAACTTTTAAAGACACATGTATATGTGCAATTTTGTAGATTTTTGAATAATTTGTTTTTGAATGTTTTTTCGGATTTTACCAGTACTATAAGACAAAATAGGGAGATTTTTTAATACAATTATAATTAAATATAGTTCAGTAAATAGAATTTAAGTTAATTTTGGGTGTCAAGGTTATATAGTATTTTTATTTGTACACTAGCTGTTCCTCTGCGACTTTATCCGCAAATTATGAAAATTTTATTTTAGCGTTTGTGAAATTGTCAATAGCAAATGTCAAAATGACATGACATGACAAACCTTAGCAATCTTTCTTAATTTTGGCAGCAACTTATGGTCTCTTTCCCACATTAGGGTTTTTATCCAAAATATTAACCCCCTAAGTTTAATATCGTGAAAATATATAGCTTAAAGCATAACATCAGTGTAGGGCTTTTTATTAAAGAAGGATTATTCAAAAATATGGTGTAATTGTTGACATCTTAGGCAACAAAGAAGTGTGTGTTTACGCTTTATTATAATAGTATAGATATACATTATACAAAAGTGGTTTCCAATTTTTTCTTTATAAGGGTTGGTTTAAGGGATTTGTGTGGCATAAGCAGAATTATTTTTAAGAATAAATGGGATGTTAATAAATAAAATTTATTTCTAAGATGTTCAAAATGTTCTCTCTTAACTGTACATATAAAATGTTTTGAAATTTGCCTCTGCTTGATTAGTATGACAAAGATGTTTTTATTTACCGGATATTCCCAAAATTACCATAACTACGTAGTTTTATTTCAATAAAATGTTATAAATACAATATGTATTGTAATGATTTTGAATTTTGTATTAACATGCCTTTAACACTAAATAAATTATATTTACTATATTAATGTTTTATTGCTTAAAAAAAAATTATAGCCCATCTTACTCACCGACAACGTAGCTTTGTATTGGTGTAAGAATTTTTGATATCGGCCCAGTTGTGAGTTATTTCAAAACATATAAAAATAAATCAAAAACCCTCATAATATTAGTATAGATGTGTTTGGGAAGATCCTATATGTTACCTAAATCAGGTAATTATTAAATATCTGTGTTTCTAATAGTGAGTATATTAAAAGAAATCGTCTAAATATATTCAAAAGGCCTCTGATAAAAGAAAATGCAAAAGGCCTTGATTTATTTAAAGTTTATAAATAATTTATTAGAATCGTATTCAAGGACAAAAGCTTCGTACAACCAAAAGCACTCTGTCCATTCCTTTTTATAATAGGGTCACCATGGTTTCATTTTAGTTTGGGACAAATTTAAAAATAAAAGTATTTACAGTTGAATTAAATAGAAATATAATAACAAACTACAATTTTACCTACGATGTTCAGATTAATTAAAAACAAACATGTTTATAATGTAGACATAATCATTGTCAGTCAGTGAAATGTGTTAATAAATTCCTAAATTTAGAAATCACTGTTTTTTTTTCTTTTTAAATATGTCTACAATTTTTATATTGTTACAAAATAATAGAAACGGAAGTAGTAGTGGGGGGTAGTATTATAAAAGTCTTTGCAAGGAGCGAGGCGCTCTCAGTCGCTTAGTGGCTGTCGCTTAGACAGTTGCACTCAGTCGCTTAGATGTCACTCAGTCGCTTAGTGGCTGTCGCTTAGACAGTTGCACTCAGTCGCTAACAAGCTCTCTAGCCGTCAGTACCTCAGTTGCTTCAGGAGCTCAGTAGCTCGGTACATTTCTAATCGTCGCCACGGAACGTTCGATATCTTTTACGTTGTTGCCTTAATGTATTCGTTTTATAATAATTCACCAGTATTGCTCATATTACCGCTCGACTGTCATATTTTTTTTAAAAGTCATTCATATCGAAATTTATAACAATATATTATTAAACAGTTTTTCTTTTTAAATATGTCTTATCATTGTTGTTAAGTATTTTGGAATTTGACACCTATAATATTAACTTAGAAAAAACAAATATATCAACATTGTTTTGAAGACTCAAAGGAAACAATGTAATTTTTAAGAGTTCTTTATATTAAGAAATAATTTCTTTGCTTCTAAAAAAAAATTGTCCTAAAGATAAGATTAATGGTCACCCTAATATTTAAGTTTTCGCAAGTCGATAATTGTGTTTGGAGATCCCCGGGGTAAAGAGGGATCTCGCGGAGGTAAACGGGAATTATTTTACTTACGGATTTCGTACTGATTCTGCCTTTTTTTTAACTGATTGATGAAACTTACTTGTAAAGTAAAATAAGGGATTTAAATTCAAACAAAGATATTTGATCCGTTAAAAGAATTTGTTGTCGTGGTTACTTTAGTAAACATTATTAGACAACTTATTTAATTGATACTGTCGCTTTTAACTCAGAGCAATACTTCTCGCCAGACTCAGGTTGCGCGCCAAATCTATCCATACTTGTAGTGACATTGACAGCTAGGGACGTGACGTTTATGCCGATAATCTAGAGTTGCGCCAATTCTATATACATAAATTAGGGTTGTAACGGAAGCGGATACGGATACGGAGGGCTTGCACCTTTGCAGATGCGGAGGTTAACGGAAGCCGAAGCGGAGGTCAATAATAAAATATAAATGCGCGCGAGCAGCATAAACGATACTTTACCGCCCCACTCGCTTTAAAGACGTAAATTAACCGCTATTATAACTCCGCATAAGTTATAAGCGGTAGCGGAATTAATATTTCTTGTGGAAGTTCCGCACTTGCGGATGCCTAAGAGGAGTTCCGTTACAACCCTAACCTAAATAGGGTCTTTTTACATAACCGGTGCCCTATGGTTTCATCGATAAAAAAGCAAGGAATTTCGAAATATTATGAGTAAACTTTGGAACAATACTTTCTTAAAAGTTTTCAAATGTAGATAACATATAAAACGTTTTACGTCAGCTGGTATAAAGTTTGCGCGGGAAAAATCATGGAATCCATAAAATTTGTTTTAATCTTGAGAGACTCGTAAAAATTAAGGCAAAAAAGATCTTCTTTCTTAACTTTTTGTAATGTATCTTTAAATTGTTAGAGAAAGTTTTCGTTGGTTGATTTACATTTTGTTTTGAATTACGTATTCACGTTATCTTTATTGTTAGTGACGTAAATTTTTTATTAAATAATTTAGATGTGATTGAAATATGTAAATACTAGCTTTCGCCCGTGATTTCGTTCGCGTGGAATTAAAAACCAAAAATGATCAGCCTATGTGTTCTTCCAGACTATCCTCAGCCGTTTAGACTACAAACTCTAACAAACATCCATCTATCTAAACTTTCGCATTTATAATATTAGTATTGTAAATATAAATGTTATCTTAATTAAAACTAGTAGTTTCTCGCGACTTCGTCCGCGTGAAATTAAAAACAATAAAAATATAACCTATGCTACTCAGTGATAACGTAGCTTTTATTTGGTTAGGTTTTTAAATGGTACAGATTTTTTTGAATACGCTGAGTAGTTTCTTAGTTATTTCAATAGATACAAAAACTACAAATCTTTCCTCTTTATAATATCAGCATAGATTAAAAAATATTGCAATGTTATTTGAATTTTAACACCGACTTTCGATTCCTGTGAAGTAATACCTACTGCCGGTTTCTACAGACATATATTATAAAAAAAGTTACTGTCAATTTAGAATGTTTAAAAAAAATAAAAGTGATAATTCTATCTTTTCACTTTTTAACCTCAAGTTCGTTAGCGATCTGGTTGTTCGAAATTCAAACTATAACTTTGTTAGGCTGATTGTGCGGCATTTCTCGTACAATCGAAAAGAAAAAAAAACATTCCTTTTTTAAATATTTTGATTAGGTGAATGTTTAGAATAAGAAATGATGTTTGTTTTAAATTAATTAACAATAATATAACAAAACAATAGATTTGTAGCCTCATAAATTGAAAATATTGGTTATTCAAATGTTGGCAACATTTTCTTGGTATTGCTAATGTCTATTGGCTTCGATCATCTGGCTATTCCCGCTGCTATTGCCCAATCTCTTTAAAAAAAAAACTAGATATAGTCGGACAGTCGCTGCTTGCTCGTTTATCATTAAAAAGTATTTTTTTAAAAGAAGAAAATTTTCATAATTACCGCGTTCATCCGTCAAACGGAAAGTCGAGAGGGAGGTTGATAATTATTATCCGGCGACATCTTAATTTCGTTAAATTGAAACTTTTTACAGATTTTACAGATTCTAATTTTAGGTCTTTTTAATGTTTTCAACGCATGAGGTCTTTTTATAATAATAATAATAATAATAATTTATTTAATTCATGTAACAGAATATTACACATATGATATTTACAGGAACACTACATAATATATTACATTACACACACACATATAACGAAAAAGGAGAAACTAAAATTAAAACGATCTAGGGGACCCGATGCCGGCTACGCGCATATGTACGCGCCGCCAGTGCCCCATGATCGGGCAGTAATTAAAATATAATATAATAAATTAATATTATTATTTTATATTACAAGTATGAGTAAATTTTAAAATTGCTGTAAATTCGTAACATTGATTATACACAGGCGATACTGAACATGTTAAAACACGATTTATCTCAGGTAAATATACTCAACTTTAATATAAATCAAGTGAAGGGTTCAAATGTAGGGGTATAATTAAAGGAGGGTTGCATCATTAATTTGCGGCTACCGTGTCCGGAGTTATAGCCTGTTAGCCCTTTAGACAGTATCCTGTGGTTTTGCTTACTAACAATAAAACAAGAATCAACCTAAAAAACTAACTACTCTTTGACGATATATACTCTATATGTATCCTCCAACTACTCTATGACAATATAGAGTAGAGCACAAAAGTAATGACATTAGTGTTTAAATCAACTATAACAATACAGGTCTAGAAATGATGAACGGCTCAACTAAAGTAACAGTGCTAGTGCCCGCTTTTACATCTTAGCACTGCAGGGCTGGCACCCCGGTGTAATACCACGACCACACAGAAGACAAGCGTGAAATGGAAGCAATTCCGTGTTTTCTCCCCGGAGGCCTAATTTAAGTCTTTTTCTCTTTACCACCCTTTTCTTATAAGGAGAGGATGGGAAGAGGAAGTGGATTTGACGGAGGAGGAGATACATAGGAAGGGGAAATATCCTCTTTATGTGCGTCTCCTCCTCTGTCTGATAAGGGTAGGCAA